TACTATACCTTGAAACGGTGACTTTAAGCATCCGGGATAGTTTCAACGCGTCGCGGTTCCCAAGGACAAAGTGCTCATATTTCTTAATTAATTGTTTATTGGGTTTCTTGCCAAACATTCCGTAAACGTTCTGAAAAACAAATTGAACATGGATATAGAAACTTGGAAGTACCGTCAGAGGATTTAGTCAAGCTTGCACAAACAAACTAAGTAGGAGCGAGGAAAATAAACGATAAACATACAAGTACAAAAAAGAAAAAAAAACAAAAAAATTGAAGAAAACGGAAAAAGAGAAATATGAAAAAAAGGGAAATGAACGCTAGGAAATGATAAATTATGTATGATGTTGAACGAGTAATTTTCTTTGGAATATAGCAGTAGGTAGAGGTAAAACGTATCTCTTCAAATATTTATCCCAAAAGCGAGTTTAAAACCTTTCACCTTGCTCACTATATCTTTGCATGAAAAAAGCCCCTTTCTATATTGCCGATCTAAGCAGTATCCTCGAAGCTAGTTTGCCAAATATGAACTTAGTATGGCCTGGCTTGCCGAAGAATTCCTTTCCTTTCATTTGGATGTTCGGTGTTAAATAGGAACGTCCGACTTTCGAATCATTACACGAGACGTTTAATATTTTTTTCTTTTCCCATACTCGAGAAAGACTGAAATATTTTGGGGAGAGGTCGTAAGGATCGGGCATGGCGAGGTGTTTACGTCGTGTCAACCACCCAAATATTTTCCCACTCGGTCTTTCCATTCAGTCAATAGGTACTTGTAGTCACTGGTTGAACCATATGAATGCGTTACCGGATCAACAGCACTTGGTGGTTGGTTAGTATGAAAAAGAAAATTCCCCAAGCTGTAAGCGATAAGTTTATCATCTCGAAGACAGTGATCCTGAAGAACGTGTGGATGAGCTCCAATGATCATATCCACCCCAAGAGACATCAGGTGTTTGTTTATGTGCTTTTGGGAGGAGACGGGTCCTAAAGTGAGCTCTTCACCATAGTGCATGAAAGCGACTATAATGTCAACTTTGGCCTATGAAAGTAAAACAAAAAACAAAAAACAAAAAACAAAAAATGAGGTAAAGTATAACTATAC